CTGCAATAACAGCACCAGTTGTCAGGGGCCCTGTTTGATTTGGGCGGTGTGAGCAGTAGAACTGGCAGGTCAATCATAGCCAGGAGCACCAGCAAATACCTACAGGATTATATCACCCTGAAAAGAAAAGAAAAAAATTAAAATGTTTTTCTATTCAAAATCCCTCTCCTTTCCTTTGTTCACTCTCTTTAGAGTGCAAAAGCAGGGTAGGTTGGTTCTTCTTCATCTACTCTTGCCCATCAGAGAAAAAGCAGAAATACCAGGCAAACAACAAGTAGGTTCCCATCTGTCCCAGTAGCTTGCCACACTTCGCATACAACAACAGAACAGCTGCTGTGGTGGTTTGTTCTGATGATAATCCTGGGCCTGCTGCGAGAGCAGCACACAACACCCGCAGCCCTAGTGCCTCCATCTATCCAGGGAGAACCAATAAAATACGGCCTTGTGCACCCTATAGAGGAAAGTAAGGGGTAGAGTAAGGACAAACTGGCAGCATCCACTGGATCTTGAATGACAGAAAATTAGTTTAAAAAACAGCTTTACATGAAAAATTTCCAAGAGGGCATGGCAAAGGGGAGAAAACGAAAACATTTACTTTTTGCACCTTTTAATTCTAAAGTTGCTGAGTTATTTTAACAGTAAATTCTCCTGAGCTTATTGTTTGATGAAAATGCCATAACCCCTCTTATTAGATAATGCTACAACCCTACTTCTGCTGCAGTCAATGTTATCAACATTATATGGGAAATTATTTGTGGGGAAAAAAAATTAGGATTATTTATACTGAGGTTGCAAGTTAAATTCTTTATAGAGTTTAAATGCTCTAAGTCTAAATACTTTAGACTTGGAAAACATCAAACCCCCGGATTACCTTATGACTGAGCTTTTTGTTGTGAAGTCATGCTAAATTCATCACAGGTAATACTGTCATCATGTTCCCCAGTTCCCACAGCCTGTTTTAATCCTCTGAGTTACATGAATGCTTTGAAAATGGGTTTTTATTGTTACAGTCATGCCTGTCTTCCTTTTTAAAGGTTTTGATAGATTTTTACACATCTTCATTTTGTGCCTCCCGCCATTGTGCATTTCTGGATGTTCAATTCTGACTCATTCGAGCAGCTAATGCATATGTACATAGTTGTATGTATGTGTGTATGAATGTATATGTTTATACCTGTCTAAATACATTCTGTACAGTGTATAGAAAGTGTGTAGTGTATGTATATATGTACAGTTCTGTAGCCATGTGTTCATATCATTCTATATGGTAAAGCTTTTAATTCATTTCCTAATCCAGAGCTTCCTAGTTTTCCTTTCTTAGCCCAAACTAAGCCTCACTTAAGCAGGTGATTCCTCGTCACTTTCAGAGCTTTGCACCTTTTTTCTAAACCCAGCCTGAATTTAGTATTTTCTGTTCAGAACTGACAAATCTATTTCATGACTTTTCTGGCTTTTATGCTACTCCCTCTACTTTTTCTCATTTGACATGTAGAGGACTGCCAGTGAGCAGTTAACTGAACGTATAATGTCTGTCAAAAATAAATGCATAAATAAATGCAGACATAGAAAATACTTCCTCTTTTCAATATATACCCATTCTCTTTCAGCCTTCTGCAGGACTTTTTTGTAAAGTTTTATTTTGCAGTGAAACTTCTTAAGAGATTGATTTTCTTTTAAGTCTTCAGCAGTGGCTAATCGGAAGAAAAACAAGTTGCCCTTCATCACTGAACTGTAGCACACAGAACAGGATGCAATGGATGCTGTTTAAAAAACCCAATGCTCGTATGGCCATAATGTTAACATGAAACCAAACTGTTAGCTAAGCAAAGACTACGTCCTCTGCTCCATGAAGCGACGGCATTTCTGTTACACTGGTAATTAAGAGGGAGATTGCAGTTAAGTTTATTTCTTAGCAAGCATCAAGACTTACTTAGGATTTTCACGATTAAATTCAGCTTCCCAAAGTTATTCCCTTTATTGTCTAGCTTAAACTAAACAAAGCCGGTTAGTTCATTTAGTTGTCAGACTAATGTCTATTTTCACATTCTGTCTTCTCCTAAAACCATCATCCGTGCAGGTCTTGCGCTGTGTGTGTGTGTGTGGAGTTTCCATTGTTCGCAGGGGAGCTGGGCACATGGAGCATATATGAAATCAGACTTGCAGGAAGACGATTTATTACTTACAGGGAGTATTGAAGCATTTAAATTATCAAAATATAAGTAACTCTTGCTCCTTTTCCCTTCTGATGACTTAAGTTACAAAGGAAGCCCTCTGTAATTCTGTTAATTTGGGTTTGTTTGGGTTTTTTTAAAGCATTTCAGGGACTGTATAGGGAGTAGTTCAGCAAGTGTTGTTTCTGTCGTATTAAAAAGGTGAAGCGGAATTTTCTGGGCACTTATTTCCACCTTTTGTACTCAATGTGGCAAAGACTTGTGCATGTTTAAGCAGATGAGCAGACACCACTTACTTAAAATAACGTGAGTTTCTTGCATGCTTAAAGTAAAACACAAGTCTCCTTCAGAGTCAGGCCCCACTGCTTGTAAAGTCTTTGCTATGGAAAATGCTGAGAATGTTCTGTTTCTTGCTCTACCGTTTAGTAAGCGTTTGTTACCTTTTATTTCAAATAGAGAAAAAACCTGGAAAACATCCATTTTAACATTTCAAACCTT